TATCTACATCTACATTTGTCAAAGATGATAGATTCTTTGATTCGAAGAAGACAGATATATTGGGTTTTTATAATTGAAGAAATACTCAATTCACCAATCTGAAATCAAATAACTCAACATTCATACATCATATTTAGGCATTTGCAAAAATAGATGCATTTTCATTCATTTTCATCTATGTTGAATTTTTAACAGGAATTTCAAAGATTTTAGCAAAGATTTCAAATCCACTTGATGGATCATTCATTACCAGATAAGTTCATAATGAGAAGAACTCGTCTGAAGAAGGAAGAAGAAGTTCATAATGAGAAGAACTTGTTCAACTTTTTGTTTAAATTCATCATTTGATGGATCAACATTACCAGAGAAAGTTCATAATGAGAAGAACTTATCTGAAGAAGGAAGAAGAAGTTCATAATGAGAAGAACTTGTTCAACTTTTTGTTTAAATTCATCATTTGATGGATCAACATTACCAGAGAAGGTTCGTAATGAGAAGAACTCATCTGAAGAAGGAAGAAGAGGTTCATAATGAGAAGAACTTGTTCAACTTTTTGTTTAAATTCATCATTTGATGGATCAACATTACCAGAGAAAGTTCATAATGAGAAGAACTCATTTGAAGAAGGAAGAAGAAGTTCATAATGAGAAGAACTTGTTCAACTTTTTGTTTAAATTCATCATTTGATGGATCAACATTGCCAGAGAAAGTTCATAAATGAGAAGAACTTATCTGAAGAAGGAAGAAGAAGTTCATAATGAGAAGAGCTTGTTCAACCTTTGTTTGATATTATCTGAAGAAAGAAGAGAAAGTTCATAATGAGAAGAACTCATCAAGAGCTTATTCAACCTTTTGAATGACTCTATCACAGAAAGGAGGTCATCATCATCCCCAGCAGAAAGTTCATAATAAGAAGAACTTATTTGGAGAGAGAGAAGAATTTACTCAATATCTCCATTATGATCAAAGTAAAGTCAAATGGATAAAAAATTTTATTATCTTTTCATCTTTGCCCTATTCTTATTAATATAAGAATGGGCAAAGAGGGGCAGCTGAAGATACTATTTTTTATCCATATTATTATTATTATTATTAATATTATTATTATTATTATTATTATTAATATTATTATTATTATTATTATTATTATTTATTATTATTATTATTATTTTTACTATTATTATTAAATATATTAAATCCATATAAATTACAAACCAATTACAATTAAACCGGCCCAGTTACAAACCAACTAAAACCGGTCCAAATCCAACCAGAAACCCTAAATATTTGGGTTTCCAGTTAGGGTTTCCTAACCCTAATCATCCTCAGCCGCCTCATCACAGCCGTTGGATCTGGCACGATCCAACGGTCCACATGGCTCCAGAGAGGAACCCTAGGGTTTGATACCCTAGGGCCACGCGGCGCCGCCCCAGCTTCCACGCGGCTGCCGACAGTCTTCTCGCCGCCTCCGCCGCTGCCACGTCCCGAATAAAGGCTCCAGAAGACAGAATACCAGCCGTCCATGCCATGGCTACTCGGTGAGTCACCACTGGTAGTCCGGTGACTCACCGAGAGCCCTTCTTCGGACCGGTCCGATGGCTACAACGGTGGTGGCTATAAAAGCCACCACCCCACCTGCGAAGAAAAGACACAGATACAGAAAGAAGAGACAGAACCGGAGAGAAAAAAAAAACAGAGAAAAGAAAAACAAACAAACTAATACCAACGATCTCAGCAGCAAAGAACCGGAAGAGAAAAAAAGAAAAAAGAAAAAGGAAGAAGAGACTTACCGAGGAAGCTCCGACTACCATATCTCACCGGAACCTTCGAAACAACGAAGGTACTTTTGTAGATTTGCTCCGATTGGGAGCCTTTTAGGAAGAAATAACACCGGAACCGTCCTTAGGACGGTCCGATCTATATATTAGTGTAAAAAAAAATTTTTCCGGCCACCGGATGCGGTGGCCGGCGGTGATGGTCACGGCGGCAGACGGTTGCCGTCCGGTGACCGGCTTCCCTCCGATGAGGGAAGCTAGAGAGAAGGCAGAGAGAAATTTGTTCTCTCTCAGTTAGAGAGAGAACAGAAATGATGAAATGAAATGGTTGGCCCTTCGGGCCAGCCGGTTTGGACCATTTATAGTCCTTCCCGAACGACGTCGTTTCGGGAAGGACTATGCGCGTAATTATGGAAAAGTTAAATCCCTTCCGCAGTCCTTCGTATTTGTAAATTTTACATTTTGGTCACTAAACTGAATTTATAATAATTTTAATTTAGTCTTTGAATTTTAATTTTATTCATTTTAGTCCTTTTTATTAAAATAATATATTTAGGATAAATGACAGATTCAATCCCTTAATTTTAATAAATAATTTTTTAATCCCTAGTTCATATTTTTAATTTATTATATTATAAAATTTAAATTTTAAATAATTTCATTTTGATCACTAAATTATTAAATTAGAAAATAAAATATTTAAACCCTATATTTTCAATTAATTATTAATTAGGAATTAGATTTAGTTTTATTTTTATTTATTTTATATGTTTTCATTTTAATGCTTAAAATATATTGTTTTAGTGATATTTTTATATTTGTTAAATATTTTTATATTCATAAATATACATATAATGAATAGTTTTTTTTTAATATCGAAGAAAAGGACAGTCTTAATACAACTGGATGTCCTATTCTGATATTTTAAAATTAAAAATTAAATAATATTATTTAAATATTTATCAATATCAAAGAAAAGAACTGTCTTAAGGCACCTAGAAGTTCTTTTCGGATATTTTTTAAATATGATTTTGAAAATAATAGGATTATAAATTAAATATATTTTTGAATTTTTAAATTTTAATAATAGAGACAATTTATAATTAAAAAGTACCAATTTTGGGCGTTGTAGGGGTGCTAATCCTTCCCTAAACGTAACCGACCACGAATCCCTTTTTATTAAAAAGAACGAATTTTTGGTTATAAAATGCAGATCAGTTCATTTTTTTTATTAGTGTTTTCTTTAAAACTCTTTTTAAAAAAAAAATAATTTTTAGGTATTCGACCTACCTGACCCAAAAGGCCGATGGCGACTCACAAATTATTTTCAAAATTATTTATTCACATCAATTTCCCTGCCAAATTTAATATTTCGTGCCCGGACGAAAACCGGTTACGACAGAATTGTTTTACTATTTCTAGGTTTTGATTAGGATGAACATCAATCAAATTATTTATACATTTATTGATTTCAACCTTAAACATAATTTAAAATTTGACGTATTATGATATTGTTTTGCTAAATTTATTGATTATTAAAAATTATAAATTAATTAATTATTTTATGTTAAAAAATTAACGATAATTTCAGTATGACTGAGATATTATAAAACATCATCTCATAATCTCAAACGATTATCATATCTTAATCAATATATTAATATTCAGCTCATACGACCATTAATTTTTTTTAATGAAAAAGGACGAGCTTGAAACATGATGAATAATCGGATGATCATTTTGTAATTTTTAATAATCGAGGGACTCAACAAAGCATCTCCCTATAGTTAAGGGATCATTTTATAATTTTTAATATTTGAAAGACTCAATAAAATATTATCTTATAATTGATGGACAATTTGTATACGTTACCCTATATTTAAAATATGATAATTAAATTATAAATAATTGTATTCTTGTTATATAAATAATTTAGCTTTTTTTTAATTAAGTAGAGAGGTATTACAATTTTTCAAAGCAAATACTAGAATTCAAACTCCTACAAAATGGGACAATATGAGTATCATTGGCCACTAAGTCAATTAATAGATCTCAAATAGTTTAAACTTTTCAAATTAAATAATTTAAATTTAAGTTTTATTATGTATATATAACATTTTTAATTATTTATAAAAAAATAATCTCATAAACTAGGGTATATCACATCAATTGTGTTTTTTCAAAGACACGTCATATTTTATTGTGTTTATTACAAATTAAACAGTTGTAATGAAATGTATGTGTAAGTTTTGTCTTCAATAATTTATGAAATCTATGTTAAAAGGTTTAATTTTAAATATTTGAAAAAAATCAATGTCTAATTAATGTGAGTTCTGATAACATAAATTTCATAATTATTAGATATTAATTTTTCTAATTACTTAAATATAATTTTTTTGACATAAACTAATTAAGTGATTGAAGATAATATTTATATATACATGTACATATTTATTTATTTATTTTTAAAAAATTCGTTTATTTTTTTTCTAACTTTTTTCATTATTTTTCTTTTTAGAGCTTGTTTGGTACATACATGGTAATTGAATTTGAATGTAATAACGTAGATATATCATGTTTGATCAAATACTGCAATTTATGTAACTTATTGAATTGAGTGTAATTATAGATGTTCGATTCCATTATTTCGAGATGACTATAAGATAATATTTGTTCAGAATTTTTTTAATCATTTGACAATAAACGTATATACACCTTGCAGATATAGTTACTCGAACTTGAAACCTTAAAGAAATACACCACTCTCTTTTACCGTTGAGATCGTTTAAGGGGTCGAGTATTTAGTTCTTTAAAGAGGAATATTGTGAAGAATTGTATTGTTACCATTTTAGTAAAAGCTATTGTAAACGTTAAGACTGGGACTCTAAAGATATTAAAAAGCAGCGGTTTATGACACAAAAGATTGTTGATAAATTATTTGTCCAAAAAGACTAGAATGATGCAAGTGCCACAAATTTCACATAATAATATTAACCAGACAGTCCATAGCCAAGACTCCCCACATTTCTAGTTCCGCTCATGTCATAGTCAGCAGAGGAAATTAAGGGCAAAATAGATCCAAATCCTTCTCATAAGGACTCGTTCAATACCCAAATAAACTACATATAAAGCTTACCTTTCACTTTAATCACTCGTTGATGTTCATGTTAATATTCATGTTCGTGTTTATATTCGTATCCGTGCTCGCACTAAAAATTTTATTCAATGTCGACATATTTTGCCCATCAACCCTCATCATCATCATCATCATCAGCGTACAACCCCCCAGTACCTGTGATTATAACAGTAATCTTTCTCCTTTCTTTCTTTTTTGGTTTCTTCGCAATTCATTTTTGTAAGTGTATCCTTGAGAATCTTGCATCTAATAGGCCTACGGTCGAGGTTATCCCTCCCGATGCCGCGGATGCTGTCGTTGTCTCGACCGAGGATGTGAATAAAAGCAATGGCCTTGATCCCGAGCTAGTCCAATCTTTCCCGACGTTCTATTACTCCAACGTCAAGGAGTTCCGTCGAGAAAAATACGGCCTCGAGTGTGCTATTTGCTTGGGAGAGTTCGAGGACGATGATCTTCTCCGGCTTTTGACGATTTGTTGTCACGTTTTCCACAGAGAATGCGTCGATCTTTGGCTCGAATCGAATAAGACGTGCCCGGTCTGTCGCCGGGAGCTCGACGTGCCGAGGAAATCGTTTGAGAAATCTCTGGTGCTGCTCCATAGCAATTCCATGCATGAAATCGGAGCGAATAGTCAATACCGAAGCCCCCTAATACTACGTAACGCCGTTTGTATCGACATTAAAGAGGATAGCAAGGCGGAATCCTATGAAGCCGAAGCACAAAGCAGCTCTTCGAATACAAAGGAAAAAGATCATCCAAAAGGGCTTTTCAGGTCGAACTCGATGGGGCACTCCATAGCTAGGGTTAGAGAAGAAGAAGATGATGATAGCAAATATAGACTGAGATTGCTTGACCATGTCAAAATAAGAATTGTAACAGGACACAAATCAGCAGTAAGTTGTATATCTTTTAGAGATTTTACGAGCCCCTTGAACTACACAGATGCAGCTTCAGGTGAAGCATCGGAGACACTTGGAGAAGACATAGATAAAGTATAAGTTTAGGCTCTTTTCTTCACATTGAAAAGCTTCTCTTTTTTTCTTCTTCTCAATTCTCATGTTGAGGACTTGTTCAAAGATTCACTGAAGGTAGATAACCGGAAAATGAAGAACAATGGAAATGAAACTCATCCACTGGCTTCCGATTCGATTTGGATTTAAGTGGATCTCAGCCGACATGAGAGCGGACTTGATCTTTTAGTGACCTAAATATTATTTTTATTAGTTAAAATAAGGACCTAATTAAAAATATATATATAAATGAGTATTATTGCACTTATCTATCTCGAATATAAAGAGAGAATTATAATAATATATCAACTCGGATCTTATTTTTTCCGTCTTGAACATGAATCCGACCTAATCACATCCTTTAGAGAATTCAACTCAACTCAAACATAAAATTTTTAAATAAATAATAGACCAGACCTACGAGTTGTCCATCTCTAATAGCATGGATTAGCCTGCAATGTGGCTAACAAATCACCATCGGGTCTTCTTCACCAGATCAGGCGACAGCTCCCTTCTCTGTGTTTCTTGTCTCTCGAGGTTGTCCCTCTTATATTGCTAATTACATAGCACTTGTTTGCATAATTAAAGTGCTAAAGAAACTCTAATGGCTTAATTCCTTCATTTGCATCTAATGATGATCATTGGCAAGCCAAATGATTCATTAGCAAATTGTAAATCGTTGCACAGAATGGGTTGCCAAACACATGTCAAGCTTTGTTTGTAAAAAAGAAAACAGTAGGGTTAGGAGAATCTAAGGTACCGTGAGCCAGCCAGTCACTATTTTCACTGAAAAAATAATACAAATATAAGATTTGAACGAGAAGGGTCGCTTTAACCCGCAGCTCGTTGTGTTATTTGTATGCATATGAAGAGCTTCTTTCTTTTTCCTTCATCTTCTTGCTGGCACCAAAAGAGAACTCTGCCTCCTCTCCCGTGCATGCATCATATTTTCGGTCTAATTATGAATCCCGTCCCTCTATTTTACAAACATTGAGAGATTAATATATTGACATAATAATAAATTAGCCCCCAACATTTGCACAAATTTTCAATTTGTCTAGTTCTTTTTTTTTGAGCATTTTAGCTTCCAACATTTTAATTTTGGTCAAAACGACTCATGTCGGATGGAAATCGTTAGTTGATTAATCGTCAACATATATTATTATTGACGTGATATTTTTACGTGTTTAATTGATGACGTGATATATATCACGTCATAATTTTGTGTGACATGACACATACCAAATCATCACTTTGGTGATGTGGCACATGTCACACCATCATTCTAGGTGACGTAAAATATGTCATGCCATCATTTTGGCTGACGTGACACATATCATATCATCAACTAAACACATGTAAAAATATCACGTCAATAATAGGTGTTAACTGTTAGTCAACTAACAATTACCATCCAACAAGGGGTTATTTTGACAAAAAATTGAAACATTGATGGCTAAAATTCTCTAGAAGAAAGAATATAGAGTAAAGTGACCATTTGTGCAAATGTTAAGAGCTAATTTTATCATTATACCTAATCCATTTAAGTAGTGGGGTTTATGCTAGTAAATCACTTTGGACTTTAAAATGAAACTAGCATTTCAAGTTCCCAGCATTTGTTGGAGCGTTTGTGGATTGTGTAGATTGTAGAGGAGATGACACTCGAAACACAATCGTCGAACGAGCTGTTGAACGTTATCATCTATGGTACTATATTTGCAATCCAATGTAGCAGCCATGACCATGATTCTTTGGTGACAAATAGTTTCAGCTCCTTGGAACAAGCTGGTACTAGTAGTGGTGGTGCTTAGAGTTGCTTGCCGGTGTTGAATCCAAAACGGCTTCGTATGGCGCGGAAGTGTCGAAGCTGCAGGCGGTTCAAGGGAGGAAAAAGAGGAGGAGAAAGCCGAGGGTTCGCCAGAACAAAGAGGAGGCCCTGACAAAAAGGACGACTCACATTGCTGTCGAGAGAAACAGGCGGAAGCAAATGAATGAGCATCTCGGTGTATTACGTTCCCTAATGCCTCACTCCTATATCCAAAGGGTACTTTATCTTATGGTAAATAATGATTTGAATGAAATGTCTTGGTAAAAAAACTAATGGTTACTTTAATTAGGGAGTAGTACTTAATTTCACCGATTTCATCCAATACACACAATATTGAATTATTTTTTTACATGGTGTAGGGTGATCAAGCATCCACAGTAGGTGGAGCCATAGTTTGTCAAGGAACTTGAGTATCTCCTGCAAACCCTCGAAGCACGAAGCCACGAAAGGTTCGAGTGTTGCAGCAGCTGCATACTGTTGACAATGAACTAGAAACCAACAGCGACAACAATTCTGGAATATTGTAGTCGTTGTTTTCACAATTCTTCATTGCCCTAGGTACACCTGGTCTCAGAATCCGAACAAATACACATCGAAGACCAAGGCATCGATGGCCGATTTCGAGGTGACATTGATCCAAACTCATGCTAATCTTCGAATTTTATCACGGAAAGCTCCCAAGCAGCTTTCCAAACTTGTTGCTGGTTTTCACTCACTTTACCTTTCCATCCTTCACCTTACCGTTACATCCATGGATACATTAGTTCTCTACACTATCAGTGCCAAGGTAAAACATCATTATTGTACATGATTTTAGCAAACGTTGATGAACTGTATATTGGTCAAAATTATGGTTTTGGTCTCTCTACAATTATAATGTCATCAGATAGAGTATATAATCAACATCATAGTGTTTTGGGCTAAGATTTGAAGCATATTGAATGAAGGTTGAAGAAGGATGCCAACTGAGTTAAGTGGATGACATAGCAGAGGCCGTTCACAATTATGTTGATATCAACTTTGTGCAACCCAAAATACCCTTTTGATTTATGGTCAAATCACCAAAATACCATCATCTCCCTCTTTTTTAGGGTTCCTGTTGAGAAGGTTGTTTACTGTTTAGAGCTTGTTCATTTTTTTAGTAGATGAGTTTTTTTATACTTTGAGTCAATGAAAAGTAGTGTGTTCTGAATTTTGAGTTTTTCTTAGGCATGACTTTTCATGGTATTTAATTAATAATGGGATGGATGGTGAGGTCACACACTTGCATGTTAATAGTTTCTAACAAAATGATCCCATAAAGATTAGGGTAAAATATACAAATAGTCCACGACTACCAAAAATTAGAGGATTGCAGAAAATAAACAAAAAATATGAAACAAACCATAAAATCAAATATTCTAAATAAATAAGAAATTAATCATAAAATAAGTATTAGAAAATAAAAACAACAAATTATGAAACAAGGACAAAATATTCTAAATAAATAAGAAATTAACCATAAAATAAGTGACCAAATTGTAAATGAAGGAAATGGAGAGGATTGCAGAAGGGATTAGACCCTTTGGGTCCAACACGCGCATATGAAAGCCTAAAACGACGTTGTCTGCTAGGATTATATAAATCCCTTTTTCGTTTTTTTTTCATTTTTCTTCTTCACTTTTTCCTCCTTTTCTTAGATAGAGAAACTCTCTCTTCTCTCTAAACTTCTCCGAAAATCGGTGGCTACGCCACCACCTCCCACCGCGTCGAACGTCGTCTGTCGCCGTACTCCAACGGCTGTCGAAGTCAGAAATTTCCACGGAGGCTTTCCTCGACGCCAGGAACCCGAAACTAGCCATGATTTTGCGGTGAGTGGCTCCCAACTCCATGTAAATGGCTGGCGACCTTTCGACTTTCGAATCTCTGATCGAATCGAGCTGGTTTTTCAATATGTTACTTATGAGGATACCTTACACCTTCTCACCGTTCGGATTGGGCAATGGGGGCTCCAATCGCCGGTGAGAGATCCGACCGAGAGATATATTCCTCGTTCTTTCTTCTTTTCGTTTTTGTTCTTGTTTGGTTAACTTTAATGAATAGAAAAAAATTAAAAAAAAATGCTTGTTTGGTATTACTTTTCAAAAATGAGGAGAAAAATCCCCGTTATATGCTGGTTTTCGAGGTTTTATACCCGAATTTACAGAGATGTAATAAAAAAAAATAAAGCCTAATCTACTGCCTTCTGGCCATCACTGTTGGTGACGATTTGCGTTCTTTAATGCCCCGTATTTTTTAGGGTTTGGTTAGACTTGTTCTAATTTTACTTTTCATTTTGTTGTTGAGGCGATGACAGTGGAACAGTGAAGGTGACATGCTTTGGATCGGAAAAAATGTGACAATGACCGAGGAAAATGAACGGTCGGCGCGTATGGCTCATGCGCCGATGAGACTCTAATGCCGGTGGTGACGCGCCGGTGAGGGGAGCCAAAAAGCCACCTTTGGATGATGTGATCTTAACCATTGGATCAAATCTAGATTCATTTGTGCCTTTTCACTTGGATGGGTGACGTGGCGAGCTCCTAACCCTTGGATCTAACCCTCAATCAATGGCCCACATGAATTGTGTTTGTTTGACATGGATTGAAGAGATGATAACCCTTGGATAAAATCGAATCAAGGGATGAGATCAATTTGTGTTTATTTTCATGGATTGGTGATTCCATCATTAATTACACCTAAAAAGTACCCCAAAATAAATAGTACACTGGTTTTATAATAATAATAATAATAATTTATACTAATAGTTTAATAATAATAAAATGGTGATTACAATCATGAATAATTTCCTTACAAATTTCATATCAAAATTGAAAAGAGAATAAAGTTTAAAAGTTAAAAATATGATAAAACTTAAATGTTACTTTCCCAAATCACCATTTTCCCCAAAATTGAACTGACTTTCAAATTTCATCTTCTACTCTCTCTCTCTCTTTTGGTTACCATCTTCTCCTCTCTTTAACCTAACCTAAGGTTTCCATAAAATTTGTAATTTATCATTTCCAAATGGAAAGGTTGTGAAACAACACAAGATCTCGATTTCGATGTTTATAGCAACTGATTTCAAATTCTATTTAGCGTTTCAGAGTTTCTCGTTATCTAAATTGATTCAAGACTTTAAGTTTTTAGATAAACACCGTATCATAAATATATATCAACATGTATACATAAGTCGAGTCAAACAACAACCATGAGAAACATATATAAATTTTATTTTCAATCACACAATAAATAAATATTAAAACATAATATTTATTAATTTGTATAATTAACTCAACAACTAAGTTAAGTTAAAGTAGATCTAACTATATAACCCGCACATAATTTATGCATGGATGTTGCTAGAGGGGTAAGTTGTGGCCTTGCCTCTAAAACGAGAAATTTTCCTCGTTGTCCCTTAAAAAAATATGCAGCTAGAAATTAGTTCAAAAAAAAATTTATACGTTAACCTCTCAACTATTTATAAATTCATTTTAGCTCCTTAATAAAAATCTAAACTTTATCTCTAGATTTTTGTATAACGAGACCTGAATTTAAATACTTAATGAAACAAGATTTCGACTTTTACCAACCGTATATAATATTATACAATAATAAATTATGAAAGGTGCAACATAAATTATTACTTAACATAAAGTGGGGCAATTAAATGGGAGATCCACGCCTCTTGTAGGTGAGATAGTGCCACTTCTCTAGCATCCAATAATTTCCCAAGTGCCTCCACACAAACCCTAAAACCATACCTATTTTCCAATAAATGAAACCCCATCCAAAGGAGTTCTCATCTAAACGGGAGGTCCCTTCGATATTTGACATGATCTAAGATAATAATATAATTATCTATTTATTTTTTATATTTTTAAACAAATAAAACAATATCTCTATTTTTTCAAATAAATTCCTATTTTATCGAATAATATGAAAAAATATATACGCGTGTTGGGTCATATCAAATGATGATTTTAAACCCAAAAATCGGATTTGATTTCGGGTTGAGTGGAATATTTTTAAACTCAAATTGTAACCCCTTAAATCCAACCTATACGTTACGACTAGATCTAGCGGATTATGTTAACGATCTTAAAATAACTTAAATCATAGTAATATTAAATAAGCTAAAATAAATAATATAAGACATAAAATATTAAGTGTATAATAAAATATAGAATGCCAAAAATAAACCAAATACTGAGTATCCCAATAACCCGTACATCAGTAGTAAATCAAAATACGACATAAAACATGAAACACCGAATAATGCAAGCACATGTTACCAAATAAGGGTAGTTTGAAAGATAGAAACATTACAACAAAATTAATGTAGGTGATGTGTCGATCCTCTAAGTGACAAGTTAGGGGTGCTTATCTAAAAGTATTTGAAAGGGAAATTGTTTAGGGAGTGAGCTAGGGAGCTTAGTGTGTCCAAATAGTGCAAATAAAGTGTTGTATTTAAGTATTCAGAAAATGATTCAGTAACATAACATAAGGTAATCAATGAGATTTTATATGTTAAAATTCATATCTACCCTCTTCTTGTACACCGGAATGCAGTCCCCCAGAACTGCATCCGTAAGGTCTTACCCTATACCTATTGGTTATAGGAGCCAACCTAAGGGAACACCTTGGGCCATAAGATTTTATCCTAGCCGAAGCATAGGAGCCTACTTGGGGGTAGTACCCTCAGGCCATAAGGTCTTACCCTATACTCATTGGGTATATGAGTCACCCGTAGGAATTACCTTAGGGTCCATAAGGTCTTATCTTAGGCCTAGTGGGCCTAGATGTCCACCCAAGGGTCGCATTAGGTCCATAAGGATTTACCAGCTTAATCAGAGCTGCACCTCAAAGACTCTAGGTAACATCCCAGAAGTATCCCAATAAAGCATCGCATAAAGTATCAATAAAGACAATAATTTTTTAAATTCAGACATAATCATTTCTTAGTAAAACAAGTAACCAGAGAGCACCTCAGAAAAACATATTTATAATCAGTAAAACAAGAATCATAAATCAGAATTTAAAATCAGATAATTATTCACAATTCAAAATAGGTAGAACAATCATGTAAAAACAATCATATAGCACACCGGGAACACACCTCGTAAAAAATTAGGGTCAGTCAGGGAGCCTACTGAGCACCTGCCTCGCCATGCTCTACAGCAGTGCTCGAACGAGTAATCACTGGCTCACGAAGTCGAATGGATAGCTGAGTCGAGTTGTCGAACGGTCGGGAAAGTCTCGTGTACCTTCAAATAGCAATATCTTAGATCAATCATTAACATTAAGTTAATTATTATTAAATAAAATACTTAAGTATGTATGCATGCTCGAGTTTGATGATAAATTTGGAGGCTTTTGAGTTTGAATTTGATAAAACGGACTTCAAATTCAGACTCGGAACGTTGAAAAAAACATAAAATATGATTTTTTTTTCAAAAATTTTGACTTTTTAGTGAAAGTCAAAGTCAATACTGGTCAAAGTTAGCGGTCAAGTCAACGGTCAGTCAAAGTCAATGAGTTGACTCTGTTTGAGCTGACTCAACCGAGTTAAATTAGCGAGTTGGCTTAGTGACTTGACTCAGCTCGACCTGATTCGGTCTGACTGGACCGGTTCCAGAAGACTCATGGACCAGAAGTTGAGCCCCACGCACACTGTCGGCGCGTGGCAATGCTTGTGGCGGAGACAGATGGTCGATTACTCTCTGTTTATCTACACACTTGAATCAACCAAGAACAAGTCGGAAAAGACGCTAAAATCGTCGAAAAATCATTCGGTAACTCACCTCAACAGTGGTCGACAACGGTGAGATGACGAGGAACAAATCTGATCGGGTTTTGTTCGCATAACACTGAAAAAGTTTATGGAAGCGGCGATGAGATGGAACGGTCACCAGATTGACCGAAAAACAAAGGAAATCGTGATGGGGTTCATTTTTTCCGAAGATGCTTAAAACATCGATTTGTGTCGATTGATGACGAATCACACTACGATGATGCTTGGGTTTTGGACGAAATTCGATGGCGAGTCAAATGATTGTGGTATCGACAGTTATGAAGGTTGAACAGTTATGAATTGGGGTGGAGAGGTCGATAGTGGCTAAGGATTGGGTTGGGAATTTGGGTATTATAACCTGAGCCTTAAGCATTAAAACAATATTTAATTATAAAATATCACAACAATGACTTAGCCTAAAGGGTAGGGTGATGATCGGCTATGCTTGGGGATAGGGGTTTGAAACCCTTCAGCCATACATTTTTATTTTTTATTTTTTCTCTATAAACCAAAAAGATTTTGAAACTTTTGAAAACTGAGATGCAAGCTTTTGAATTACAATTTAGTTCCTAAATCAACCAAATTAATTTATAATTTTAATTTAAAATGGGGGTGTGACAATTCTCCCCCTAAGAGAAATTTCGTCTTCGAAATTTACCTGAAGCAAAAAAATGTGGAAATTGAGTCTTCATTGATTCCTCTGTCTCCAAGGTGGCTTCTTCAGGACCATGGTTACTCCACTAAACCTTTACCATTGTGATACGCTTGCTCCTTAAAACTCTCTTATTTCGATCCAAAATCTGAATTGGCTCCTCATCATAGGATGAATCTGGCCTCAACATAACATTCTCAGGTGGCTAGAATCTCGACGATATAGCCTCAACATGGACATGTAAAAGACATCATAAATACGGTTGAGTTAGGGAGGTAACTCGAGCTGATATGCAACAGGTCCTACTCTTTTCAGGATATAATATGGCCCAATAAATCTCAAACTCAATTTACCTTTGAGCTCAAATCTTAACACTTTTTCCCATGGAGATACCTTAAAAAAGACCTGATCTTCAACCTCAAACTCGATGTTTTTCATTCTCTTATCAGCATAAGACTTCTACCTATCAAATGACTCTTTCAGACGATCACGAATCAATCTGACGGTGTCCTCAGTCTCTCGCACTAACTCAAGTCCCAAAGTCTTTCTATCACACAACTCAGTCCAACATATCGGGGTGCGATAACTACGCCCATAAAGTGCTTCATACGGTGCCATACGAATACTAGCATGATTGCTCTCATTGTAAGCAAACTTAGCCAAGGGCAAAAAGTCCTCCCTACGACCACGAAAGTCAATCACAAAACCCCCACAACATATCCTCGAGAATATGAATCACTCGCTCTTATTGACCATCAGTATGCGGGTGGAAATAAATACTGAAATTTAGTCTAGTAGCCAGAGCCTCATGTTGTGGTTTCCAGAATCTTGAAGTAAATCTCGGATCTCGATTATAAATTATAGATAACGGAATACCATGCAATTTGAAGATCTTTGAGATATACAGCCTAGCCAGCTTATCCAAAGAATAATTTACCCACACAAGAATAAAATTAGCTGAATTTGAAAGTCTATTTACAATCACCCAGACAAAGTCTTTTTTCAAAGGAATCAAAGGTAGACCAGTAACAAAATCCATAGTAATACGCTCTAACTTCCATTCAGAAATTTTTGATAGGTTATAACATACCCAACGTATTCTGGTGCTCTGCCTTAACTTACTAGCAGATTAAACATCTAGCCACAAAATCATAAATATCTTTTTTCATGCCGACCCAAATGTACCTCTCTCTCAGATTCCAGTATATCTCTACCGGGGTGCATAGCATAAGGGCTACTGTGAGCTTCACTGAGGATTGCATGTTTGAACTCTACATCATCAAGCACACAATACTGACCCTTGAATCATAGAACTCCATCATGGTCAAAAGCATAATCTAAGGTAGTACCCTGCTCCACTTGCTCAATGATGGAGAGCAAAGAGCTATCAAGAATTTGCTTGGCCTTGATCTCCTCTACCAAAGTCGGCTTAACCTGCAATTCTGCTAGTATAGTGCCATCATCATATTGCTTCATCTTGGCAAATAAAGTCCTCAGATTAGCTATCACCTTTCGGCTCAGAGCATCCGCAACAACATTAGTTTTACCTAGATGATAGTCAATCTCACAATCATAGTCATTCAGAAGCTTGAGAAAATGATGTTGCCTCAGATTAAGTTCCATATGGGTTAGAAGATACTTCAAACTCTTGTGATCAGTAAAAATATAATATTTCTCTCTATAGAGATAGTGTCTCTAGATCTTTAAAGAAAATATCACAACTGCCAACTCCAAATCATGGGTCGGATAATTAGACTCATGCGAACTCAGCTGACTGGTCACATAAGCGACTACTCTCATTTCATGCATCAGAACATAGCCAAGTCCAGAGTGTGAAGAATGACTATACACTGTAAAACCCTTCCCGAGCTTAGGTTGAGTCAAAAACTGAAGCTTGAGTCATAGTTGTCTTCAATTTCTCAAAATTCTCCTATTGTGCATCACCCCAGTCAAACGGATATAATACCCTCGACCCGTACCCGACCCAGATATGAATATGAGGTGTCACATTGACTTTTCAAACACTTTGACTCATTTAAAATTTGACTAAAACTTTACAATGAAAAATAAAGCTTTACAAAACATAGTTACAAACATATTAGAGCATCTATGACTTACATCTTTTTGTACATGCCAACAATCAAATCACATACTATTTAGTTTACTCTGACCTGATATTCTCCCGAGCTATGATGTCCTGTCCTTGCTTACTTTGCTGATGTCTCCGAACCTACGTGTGAAAACAATCACACGTTAAGTCTAGGAATTAGTGAGGCTTTATTAGCAATATTAAACCGTAAAGCATTTATTTAAACCTTTCAGATAAAAATACTTAATATGAAAATCAATTTGTGTTTCATATAAATAGAATAGACTTTTATTCACTGTTCAACTTATAATCACTTTACATTTCATATAACTACATGTACATTTATACACTTTTCATTTCATATCAATTTGTTTAATTTATATCATTTTATTTAATTATCCCAACATATATTACTGAGAACTCTTGGTACGCAAGTACATTGAGGTTGTGCACTAATGCAGTCACTACTGCTCACATAATTTGCACCGAAGTGCCACATATTTGTCTCGAATGACCACATAGGTTTGTCCCGAAGAACCGCATAGAACCCTCGACTCTTGGCATGCCAATTATACATCTAAATTCTCATACATATACCTTGGGCTTTAACCATATAATTATTCTTCATTTCATTCTTTAAAGTTTGTTTTATCCAAAAAAAACATATTCACATACAAGATTTACTCATAACAGTTCTTAAAACATTTCTAACTTATCATTTATATTCCATAGAACATATTCACTTAACACATATTCTCATAACCTTTCACATAGAAACATTTACATAGTATTTCACATAGTATTATATTTAAATCTAGATATCATCTACTCATTGTATTTCAACTAGCCTTTATTAACTTATCATTTATTCACATAGATCATATAAACATAACATTTCATATTTACTTACTCCAAATTATCATTTCTTCTGTAAAACATGTTCACATAATTCATATATTTATACTCATAGCAATACAATTTAAACATTGCTTTATAAAATATGATTTAATTAAAACCATAAATAATTCAAATCTTTAAGTTTAACTACATTTGAGGTTGGCTCCTCGCAAGTTGTCTTCAAATCGTATTTAGGATAAGTAAGTATCACTCACCTTTGTCTTACTTAAACCTTAAACAACTCATTCTCTATTTAACTTTATCTTGGTACATCCATTCGTTCCACATTTGTTTTCAATCAAATCTACACAGAGCATTACCCATATGAATACATGAACTCAATTAACATCTAACCCAATAACTTTTATTTAAGTGAAAAGAAACACTTAATTAACATTTCCAACTAAATAGTATCGATACTCAACCCACAGTACTGATACTTCTCTTCTATGGTACCGATACCCATTTCAGTACGTATACTATTTTTAGCATTCTGTAATTACCCTTTCCATTACAGTATCGATACCTTCCTCTTGTTATCGATACCTCCACATCAGTATCGATACTACTTCAATCAATATCGATAATGTCATCTTATCCATACTCTTTCCTTACATTTTAACTTTATAGTATTGGTATTGTTCTTCCAGTATCGATACCCTTACCCAAAATTCATCTATTTCACTTCAAACATTTACCCAACTTTACTTAAATCTCCCTTTAAACCCCATTCATGCCTTTAAACTCACTTACACTTATTACCACTAACCTATATCCATTAAAACCCTTTTAACAACCTAATTTCTCCATAAAACTATTGAAACTAAAAATCATACCAATTTTTTAAACATGTTTTCAATCATTTCTAACACTTCAAATCCCTTAATTAGACATTTGACAAGTCAAAGATTCTTTTAGAATTCAATTACTAACCAAAATTCATCATTTCACTTAAAAACCCATTTTACTAATTCATAATTAAATCACCAACTCTTAGTTTCTATTCACCTTAAAGTTTTTATTAAGCTTCCATACCATTCAAGGATTTAAAACCAACCCAAAAATTAAGAAAATAACCAACTTGAAAGTAACTTACTTTAACCATAGAGCTTCACGTGAAGAGGAAGAAGAGAAGAGTCAGCTTCCAGATTTTTCTCTTGTTTCTCTCCAACCCATATGCTTAAAATATCTTTAAAAATGAATATTAAATTCATTCCATGCTAAAAGATAATAATGCCCTTTTATTCTTCAAGCTTTCGCAATATGTCCTAAATAAAATTTCCAAAAATCAGTCCTTGAACTTTTCAATTTATTCCAATTCAACCACTAAATTTTAAATTCTTATATTTTAGTCACTGACTCGATGTTTGGGGTATTACAACGGAACATTATTCCTCAACAATTTAATTAAAGGGGCGGCAAGGAAAATTTCACCTTAAACCTCCAGAGGACAACGCCTGAATACCTTATTCACAACCACTGATTATCCTACTGGAGTCATAACAGTAACTACACTCTCAGTGTCCTCTATCAGAATTTGAAGGCCTCGATATACCGAACTAAAAAAATAAGAGTGGGTGGAGCCATTGTCTAATAATGCAGAGTATGGAACAGAGTAATTAGTAAATGTACATGTGATAACCTCTGGCTCGCCTCTGTTTCCCGATATTTGGTGGCATACACAAGAGCTGGCTTTCTAGCCTCAGATACTGTTGGTCCTCTATTATGCAGGGAACAGACTCTACTGTAAATCCTTGAAATGGATCTGAAAGTATTTCCTTCATTACAACCTCTAGCTGGGGTCTGAACAGATATATGAGAATGTGAAGGTGTTGGAGTGGATGCCCGCTCTGTAGACGTCGGATGTGGGTAATTCTTTAGAAAATGACCACTAGACCCACATCGAAAACAAGTGTCTATCTTCTTTTGACATTCTCCTACATGACGGTTTTCACAAAAATCACAAACAGACACCTGAAAAAAATTCGATGAATCACCTTGAGTAAGAGCTGGGGGTGGAGATGTTGCAGGCCTAGAACCAGTATGGCTCCTCTGAGGAGTAGCAATACAAGTCCTCTTCCCAGGGCATACATAAGACTCAGTCAGACCAGAGGACCTCCTAGTTCGCTCTCGATTTACTCGGTCACTACAGGAGTTGCGGCCTCAACCTCCTCAGCATCTTTTGCTATGCCCACCAAAACATCAAATACCTCATCCTGATGGGTCACCACCTATCTATGAAGTTCATGCCTGAGTCCTCAAGAAAACTTGCGGCACTTATCCCTCTCAGTATGTACCAAACTAGAGTCATACTTCATCAGCTTCAGGAATTCCATTTCATACTCGGAAATTGTCATATCTCCCTTAACCAGATCCTAAATTGTTTTCGTCACTCAACCAAATAGTGCTCTCCATGGAAACGACTCTTGAAACGCTCCTTGAAAAAGTCTCATATCAGACGGTCGATAATTTAGTCCCTAAATCAACCAAATTAATTTATAATTTTAATTTAAAATGGGGATGTAACAATTCTACCCCTTAATGCACAAAGAAAATGAGCCACCCTAAGGAAGTATCTTAGGGTCCATAAGGTCTTACCTTAGGCCTAGTGGGCCTAGGTGCACACCTAAGGGCCGCATTAGATCCATAAGGATTTACCAACTTGATCATAGCTACACCTCAGAGACTCCAGACAACATCCCAGAAGTATCCCAATAAAGCATCACATAAAGTATCAGTAAAGACAATAAATTTTTAATTCAGACATAATCATTTCTCAGTAAAACAAGTGACCAGAGAGCAGGTATCAGGCAAACATATTTATAATCAATAAAACAAGAATAATAAATCATGATTTAAAATTATATGATTCATTCACAATTCAAAACATGTAGAAAAATCATATAAAAAATCATATAGCACATTGGGAATACACCTCATAAAAAAATAGGGATAGCCAGGGAGCCTACTGAGCACTTGTCTCGCCACGCTCTAAACAGTGCTCGAACGAGTAATCACTAGCTCACGAGGTTGAATGGATCGATAGGAGTTGGGTCAAGCTGTCGAACGGTCAGAAGAGTCTCGTGTACCTTCAAATAACATTATCTTAGATCAGTCTTTAACTTTAATTTAATTATTATTAAATAAAATACTTAAGTATGTATGCATGCATGCTCGAGTTTAAAGGTCAATTCGGAGGCTTTTGGGTTTAAATTTGATCAGGACTCAGGACGTCAAAAAGCATAAAATATGGTTTTCTCGAAAATTTTGACTTTTTGGTCAAAGTCAAAGTGAATGATGGTCAAAGTCAACGGTCAAGTCAACAGTCAAGTCAATGGTCAGTCAAAGTCAACGAGTTGACTCCGTTCGACCCAGTTCGGTTTGACTAGACTGGTTCCAGAAAGAGGTTTTGACGTGCACTGACGGCTCGTGGTGCGTGAGGCGGTGACGGAGGTCATTTTATACGGTCGATTATCCCTGTTCATCTACACACTTGAATCAACCAAGAACAAGTTGGAAAACATGCTAAAATCGTCGAAAAATCGTTCGGTAACTCACCTCAACGGCGGCTTGACAACGAGGAACAAATTTGATCGGGTCTTGTTCGTACGAAATCGACAATGCTGATGGAAGTAGCGATGAGAGAGAACGGTCACTGGATCGATCGAAAAACAAAGGAAATTGTGGTTGGGTTCATCCTTTCCGGTAATGCTTCAACCGTCGATTCGCGTCGATTGACAACGAATCACGCTACGATAGTGCTTGGGTTTTGGTCACCAGTCGACGGCGAGTCAAATGACAGTTATGGAAGTCAAACGGCGATGAATCGAGATGTAGAAGATAACGGTGGCTAGAGATTGGGTTGGGAAATTTGAGAATTTGAGTATTATAACCTAAGCCTTAAACATTAAAATAATATTTAATTATAAAATATCATAACAGTGATTTAGCCTAAATGATAAAGTGATGGTCGGTCATGCCTGGGGATAGGGGTTCAAAATCATTTAGCCATACCTTTTCATTTTTTTCCTCTACCGACCAAAAAGGAATCAATTCAAGATTAAGTTTCTGAACTTCCTACAAGTTCAAAATCGAGCTGCAAGCTTTTGAGCAATTTAGTCCTTAGATCAACAAAATTAATTTATAATTTTAGGTGTGTGACAGAAATTTAATTATATAACGAATAAAAATATATAATACTCACATTGAGTTTAGGTTAATTAAAAACTCTATCTACTTTGAGTCATGTCTATCCCTACTCATTAATGAGATATTATAATACTATGTATGTATGTGACCTAATTATTTAACTTCCCATGCACCGTGGGGATAAAGCATCAACTATTTTATAACAACTTTGGGGTTTCATAAAGAGACCTGTCATCAGCATGTCTGGTTTCCGTTCTTATCCACTTATTAACATCTAAAGCAAGTCTTAAAGAATATGAATTTCAGACATTGAAAGTTAAAAAAGTGTCCAAATCATACACAGTAGTCAACAATTTAATGCACATCATTTTCAGCTGAACTAAGGTATCTATCTAGAACCTCCTCTTTGATGTGAAGGAATGGGGGTGCTGTTGGACCCACAATTGTTGAATATGGAAACTAAGATGGTGATCATGGTATGGGCATGATGAGAATGATGGATGCTGATGCATGTATATCTGCACCCATATCATAGCAATAAATAAACATTAGAAATCAAATAACGGCAGTCGATCTGATGGCATCATGGCTTAGGCAAATTGATTGAGATAGGGCTACATGTTGTACTTGTTCACCGCCTTTTATGCCCATTTTGTTGTGTTTTATTTCGTTAAAGTCAAATTATTGAACGAACGCCCTTCGTTTTTTTTTTTTATATTTTTACAAATATATAAACCAAAAAAGTTAAGAAATCACATGCCGTACTCATTCAACGATTTTAGTGATAAAAGGAATATAATTTTATATAGAGATTTTGGGTTTAAATAATATAAGATGTGTACACGTTGTAAAAAATTTAAAAAATTATAAATAAATATTATTTTATAATATTTTTGACTATTTAAAAAAACAATAGCATGCCTCGAAGATTATATTTTATAAATAAATTTTTTATCACATATTTATGATTGTTTATGGATTTATGTTTTAAAAAACATTTTCAAATACAACATTTCTTTTATTTTAACTATCTATTGCGTATGTATTTATTTATTTACAAATTTTATGAATCACATTTTAGATTATTCTATTCTATCTCAATTTTGTATATATCATATATATTTAGATATCTTTTGAATCATAATTTGAATTATTTTATTTTATTTTATACATCTTACATATCTATTGTTATTTACGTAAATTATATGTTTGATTACAAAAAATAAATATTATTGAAATAAATAAACATATAATGTAATGATAATAATAAAAATAATAATAGTGAAATCCAATAATAATATAATAAGCAAATTATTAGTAGATGAACATTGCTTCTGATTTTCGAACCCAAAAAAAAACACCTTTGATACGTGGACGGCTCACATCTAATTCCTTAATGATTTCACCTCATACGTGTCGAGATACTATTTGATCATCCATCGTAAGCATTCCGAAAGAATTAAAAATATATATAAATAAATAACTTTGAAAAATACAGCCCACTTGGAGCTGGTGCTTGCTTAGATATGTACATATTTTTATAATATTTAATATTTAATTCATTAATTGATCCATTTAAATTAAAAATTATAAAATAAAATTTTATTGGAATCAAAATTTAAACTTTAAATATTTTAGGCGATTCGCCTGTGGGTCTGCACTTTAACAAATCTTTAAATTCATGCCCATGCTTTTAACTCCTATTATAAAGTCAATCATAAATAGGAGGGGTCCACGTTGTCTCCCAAAAGAAAAGATTAATTACATGCCCCACTCCCTGTATTATTTGCTCTTTAAAATTTAATCTGTCCTCAATTATTCAAAATTTTATATTTTTTTACTTATCTGATTTAAATCTGTTTGATTATATTAAAATGAATTCTAATTAAATTTTAATATATGACATTCAAATGTCCTATTGAAAGTTTATATTCAAATTTAGCAAAAGAACATTAATAATATTATTGATCAGACTTAAAGTCTTTTTTATTTATCCAGTAATAAGCCTAATGGACTATTAACCTAGGCAGTGGTTACAAAGCGCCCGAGCTTTGATTCTAGAAATGAAATAGATTGACTAAATTTCAAACTGCTTAAAATATTAAGGACCAAATACATAATTAGACTGAAACAACCAACGGCAAAAACCAAACCGCCTGCAAGGGTCGGCAAACTGCTGATTAAGTGTTTGACGATCCCAAGGAATTGGACACGCGTGTGAAAGTAGACTATTCTAAAAATTAAGAGTAAAGTTCACATGAATCTTTGACTATAAAAATTTATTTTGTCAAAATTTTCAGGTATCAAAAATTATAAAATGATTTTTTAATTATAAAATATTAAAAATTTTAATTATTAAAAATTATAAAATAATCATTAGATCGTTTATATATTCTAAACTCATATTTTTCATTAAAAATAAAAAATTGTTTGAATTAAATATTAACTATAATATAATAAAATCTGATCTTATAATTACTAAAATTATATTTTATAAATTAATTTTTTATTTATAGTATACTCTCAAATTAATGCTTGATAATATTTAATAGACATTATTAAAATATAATTATATCATATTTCAATCAATATATTAATATTTAACTCACACAATCATTAATTTTCAATAAAAATAAATTTAAAAAATATAAATAATCAAGTGAAAATTTTTATATTACAACTTTTAATAATTGAAGGAACCAATTAAACAATACTCTACAATTATGGATCATTTGTGTACTTCACCCAAAAGTTAAAACTAACTTCATATAATAATTTTGATATTAATTTTTTAAATATAATAAAATTATTATTAAAAGATAAAATTATAATCTCAAATAATAAAACAGATATAAAATATATCATATAAAATACAAAGTAAAATTTTTCCTATTAAATTTTTCCATATTGATACATGGCTTCTATTTCTTCCTATTTACATGTTACATTTCCCATCACTATTTGCCTAAAGAACACTTGTGTATATAATAACACCAAATCCAAGAAAAAGAGAAGCTTGTCTTGATGATGAGATTCAAGACCTAAAGATCTGTGGTTCATTTTTCCGCTACTTGATAATTCCCTTGCATCACTTTCCACCTGTATTTTCCATCTTTTTGCAGCTTCTATATACAAAGGAACTAATATTCTATTATTAGACCTGCCATTGGAGCTCTATGGGGAATCCCTTTTCTCCGTTTTGCACTCCGGTGATTAACCGATATCGGAGGCGGCGTCGGAGGACTAAAGCTTTGCGCTTTGTCCTTCTTCTTCTTCATCTTTCCATGGCTGCTGCTGAATGAATCCTCGGAGTGCGATTCCATTCTCATTTGCCTCTTCTTCTGGGAATTCTTTGATGTGCCAACAAGCTGCAATAACCACAAACACATCCAAAAGTCAAACTTTTCCACTTACCCTACACTTTCTCAGCTGCCAAACAGCACCATTTGACTACCGAGAAAATTAATTAGACAGAACTGGGATTGATTTACCTTGCAACCGAGAGAGCAAAACCGGAACGAGTCGACAAGGCTACGATCGCAGACTTCACAGGTGTTGATTACACCTTTTCCAGGCCTGGGTTGTGGCCTTTCGTTTATGAAAACAACCTTAGCACTGTTGATTACATAGGTTTGAATCCCAGATATGTCTAAATACTTTTGAATCTCAGATACCCGTATTACATCATGGTACGAAGATCTCCTTATCTGTCGAAAAACACACACAAAACAATAACAAAATCGGGATTTCGCCGCCTAACATAAAATTTGGTATTCGTCCTGAATTTGTTGTACCTGAATATAACGATGATCCTTGTGATAAGCGAGGCAAAAGGAGCAGAGAGCGCCATTTATGCAATCTAAACAGTACATATTGCATTCACTTTTATGGGAGTCGACATGAAGCTTGCATTGAACGAAGAATTGTTCTCTCAACAAAGGTTTCAGCCATGGCGGCCACTTGTTGTTGTCTTCTTCATCAGGCCCCTATCAATCAACCAACATTCGATTAAAAACACATTTCTTAACGAATACCCAGATCGAAAACCGAGAAGAAAAAACACATGGAACAGAAACAGAGTAACAAAAAAAAAAGAACAATGAGTTAAAAAAACGTGTCTTTATACCATGATTCTTCTGTTCTTGGGCTTGATTTCACGGACGTAGGATTCTTGATTTACAATCGCCAGCTTGAACGTATTGAAAAGAGAAAATTCTTTGAAAAACAGTGAACTCTGTATTTTTTTTTTTTGGACAGAGAAAACAGAGAAGGCGTTCGAGAGAGATGATTAAAATAAAGGAGGGGGAAGAGATGTCGTTCTTATCTACCAGTTCAGACACAAAGTCCACCAACCGAACCTATGTCCGAACCCGAGACCGAACCTAACCCCTTTAAGCTCGATTGGAGATACGTTGGGTGCAAGGAACCGGACTTCTTTCCATTTTATTTCACTTTCACTTCATTTTTGTCTATTTATTTTATATCTAGAATTTTGTGTTTTATTTTCTTTTTGTATTTCAACGTTCTTGTTATAAGATAAATTTTTATATAAATTATGGTAAAGATAAGTGAGAATTTACTATTTTTTTATATTTTCATCGAATAATTTAAAAATCATCTATAAAATATTTAAAAAAATAATACTCCTAATAACGTAATTAGTGATCAATATTGTCAATCAATCAATAATTGCATTCTCTTCCCAATAAATATATTGTACAAGCACAATCCACGACTTTAGAAGTATCATTTTTATAAAACATAAAGAATTTTAACTGTGAAGCTAAAACCTAACTAATGTTTCGAAATTAAGTGTAAAGTTTCCTAACTTGACTTACGAGTTTCAAAACTCTTACGGTGGTTTCTTATAGGTAACCAATATCGATATTTGTGAGTTTTGAAACTCATAAACCAATATCGATATTTGAATGTTCAACGATCAAAATTTTTAATTTCATTTTAAAAGTTTTGAAACTAGAAAAAATATATCATACACGACAAATATTTTGGATGGACAATCATCTTACCTCAATTTGATGGTACTAGAAGAAATATATCATACATGACAAATATTTTGGATTGAGCATGACCTTTGCCTACCCTACAAGTAAAACAATCCATATAAAATAAAGTGGATGAAAAATACAGAATCAAACTAAATAAAAATAATAAAAATTACATTATAATGCATAATTCAAAATAGATGTTAATCCTTAAATAAATATCTAAATTTGGTTTAAGAATAGACGTAGCCATGTAGGGTCATTGCCCATAGGCCACCATAGACATCGAGATAATAAAGGAGACAATGAACGAACAAATTCATCTTCGTTCTTAATAACGCCAAAGAAAATAAAAGGTGGAAAATCTTTAAAAGTTAACAGTGTTATTGATAGAAACAAATAAATTATAATAATTATAGGTAATTTGTTTTCTTTAGTTTGAATATAAAATCACATTCACTGATAGAGTAATCAGTATCGGTATTAAAATTCTTTTTTATTCTTTATTGTCGATTACAGTATTATCGCCAGCTACAATTCTCCATTTAGATTTCATACAAATTATAAAACAAAAAACAAACTCACGTGACTGTTCAATGATATTTTCATGTAGAGACAAAATAATTTAAGTGTACCCAACAAAAAGTTAAGGACCAAATTGTAGCTCAAAGCCTAAATCAAGGGCCAAATTACACCAAAAAAGAGTCAAGTCCGAATTGCATATCTGAGCCAAAGTCAGGGGTCAAAAGTTACATTAACCCAAAATAAAGAAAAAAAACTTGAAAATGATTGTTTTGTTTGAGGCTATGCTACGTCGTTTTTCACACCGTGCGTTAGGGATCATCGGCACTTGGCTAAGGTCCCACCCCAAATATAGGACCCACAGTTCTATTATTGCAATTTGTTTGCAACTCGCATGCGGGACCAACATTACCATTTGGTTTGGTTTTGTTGTGGGTCCATTTTATCTAAAGCTCCGTAGGTTTGGGTTTGGACCAGTAAGATTGCGCCATGTCATTACGTTTGGAATCTGACTTTGACTAGAAAGTCTAGGCTAGTTTTGACCTTGTCGTTTTGTTTGAAATTTCCACATCGAAAGAGTTGGAATAATTAGGGGTTCATAATTGGTTAATCTACTCTTTAATTTATACAATTCGGTTAATTATTATAATAGTCATTAAATTTTATTAATTATAATTTAATCATTAAAATTATTAATTGTTGTTAGATACATGGAAGCTTGGTGGTTTACTTCAAAGGTGGTAAGGGTGTTGGGCAGGGTGCTCCCCTGTCTCCCTATCTTTTCGTGTTGGTTATGAACGTTTTATACTCTTTCCTAGATGATGCTACAAAGAATGGTCTTTTCGTGGTAAGGGTGTTAGGTAAGATTGGTCTTACTCATTTATCTTTTGCTGATGATCTTCTCATTTTCTGCCATGGCTCGGCTGATTCAGGTTTAGGGTCCTTAGCACTTTGGAGTAATTTTATGAGTTGTCTGGCCTCAAGCTTAATGCTGATAAAATTGAGTTCTTTGCTTGTGGTGTGAGGGATAATCATCTTGACATCATCAAGGCAGTTACTGGGTTTAATGAAGGTAATCTCCCAGTAAGGTATTTGAGAGTTCCTCTGGTGACCTGGAAACTCACTGAAATAGATTGTTTGGCCTTAGTTGACAAGGTTAGAAGTAAGTTAGCTCTTTGGTCTAAACGAAATCTTAGTTATGACGGTCGGTTGCAGCTTATTATGGCTGTTCTTTTTAACATCTTCAATTACTGGTGTAGACAATTAATCCTCCCTAAGGCTGTCATTCAGAGGATTGATCAACTGTGCATGAGACTTTTTGGCGTGGAGTGAGGATTCTGCTGAAGTGTCAGTTGGAATCTTATTTGTTCCACCAAATCTGAATGGGGTTGAGGCTAAAAAATCTTCTCTGTTGGAGTCTAGATTTCAAATGTGCTAATAGTATAAGGACTGATCGCAGAATTATTCAATCGTTAAATTTGGTAATATCATTATATTTATTATGAACATAAATCTTTTGAATCAATTTATTTTTGTCTTATAAAGATTTGAAGTAACATCCCTATAATAAATAGTTGAATATTTCCAATTTATTTAAAATTTAATATATATATAATCTATATAAATATAACATAAAATTCGAATAACGTTTGTAGAAAAACTTATTGATACTACAAAAATAATAATTATATGTAAAAAAAAGAAAAGATAATTATAAATATAAGAAGCAGTCGTAATTACAAATAATATAATATATATCGAAATCTAAACTATGAGGTGTTGATAAATTCAAAGGGAGGTTCGAGTGAGGTAGAGCAATACATGACCTTCGTAATTTCTCACAAAATATAATAATCAAACATGAGTATTCTTATTCCAATTTAAAAGCCGTTTTTGGAATTCAATTGTTTTATTGTACTAATTAACTATATCAGTGGTTAAAAAAATAATTATTATCTATTGAGATTTTAAATTTAAACACAGATTTTAAATTTAAACACTAAATACTGTAAGAGATGATTATTATCTATATGGATCTTAAATTCGAGCATAAAAGACGTTAAAAATATTTAAACTTTTATTGTAAAATAATTAAAAATCTTTATAACACGTAAATTAATTATAGTAATAAAAACTTTATTTTAATGACGGTCAAGTCTCCACCTCTTTTGGGCTTCGTAATGACCAAGCGCACTTGAATTCTTTTTGAACTCCTCTTTCTACTTTGACTTTCCAATGAGGAGGAGATTGAGTGTCTCTTCCTTTGGAAGAGTTCCGGAAGAAGCCATTGCCAACTTTTTTAAAACATTAGGTGCTCCAATTGACTTACCCCATGCACTGTCCATTCCAACCTAGTTACAAAAATAATTATTCAATATTCCAAACTAAGAACCGACATATATAAGATCGGTCAGATTATTGATGTAAGATGTAATCTCTGTATGACGAATTCAGAAACTGGAGCTCATATTGATTCATCCTGTTTGTTAATTAATTAATACACAACACCATGAAACCTAAGCTCGGTTTTCATGTCTTAAAAAAAGCAAAGAAAAGAAAAAATGTAAGAAACCAGGGCGCCATAAACCTGATATTTCTTCGGTCATTTTGATGATGTTCACTACGAAACAAATCGGCTGTTAATGGTATATATATATAAGGCTACCACACTGTACTAGAGTATTCTGTCCTGAAAATCTGTAATAAGGGTGGACGCCAAGGAGCTTAGTTTCTTCCCGGTCTCTCCCGCGATGTTCTTGAGGTTCGAGATATCCTGTTGTGCCTGAAAGTGACATTTTCGTTGAAAGAAAAATGAAATAGAATAAAAGGACGAGGGATATAAGATCATTTTCCAAATATCATAGGCACACAAATCCATGTGATGCAGACAAGATGTTTATAAAGCGGACCTGGAAAGAGAGTCGGTCGAGGAGGTCACTAGCTGTGAGGTCGAGAGACTTATCTGCACCCTTACCAAATAGATCCGCACTGGAGATGGCCGTTGAACCCTGCCAGGAAAATAAAAATAAGAAAGCTGTTCATCACAAAAAGATAAGTGCCTCTTGAGGCTTAAAAATGATGGTGGCTTTCCGGAAAAGAATACATACTGAGAATTTCTGCAAAGTAACTTGAGCATCATTGTCTGCTCTGCTCTGATCACCGAAGTATTGGGATGAAGAAATAGATTTCGCATTTGAAAACTTTCTCCTAGCTTCATCGGTTTCCTGAATCTGAGATTAAGAACTTTCGAATTTGAGTCCACAAACACAAATTGCAAGTTTATAAGCTCTGTATTGAAATTCAATTTCCAAGGATGCAACTTTACTTTAGCAAAAGCATAAACAATTGAAAACGACTCTAGCAATACACGTTTTGCACATTAAGAGTCATCAAATGGAGCAAGATGTCCTAAAACCAAAATGAGAAAACACCATCAAACTAATCAGTCTTAATACAGAAAAAGAGGCCATATAACTTACTTGCACTTTCAAGGAATTTGAGCTTGATTTCTTCTGAAAACCACTGTCCATTCCAAATTCGGCAAAGAAGCTTGATGACTTTGGGGGAGCAACATGGTTGAGCACTTGTGGGCCATCAGAATTCAACTCAGCAGATCGAGCGTTTTCTACATACTCAAAACGAGATGGAAAAGATGAGCCAATGGGTGCAGTATTAATACTTGAGGAAGCAACAGGGACAACTGGTTCTTCAGGCTTCTGGTCATA